CTTTATCATTTTTTTCCTTGTAAAATTTGTCATTTTTGACCGTCCACCCCCGCCTTAATCTTCCTAAGCGCGCAGGCAGACTGGTCATTCAGTGTTCGAGAGTGCTAATGGAACCTTTCTAGCTATAAATATTTCATGTATCTTATACCTTGTATTTTTATGTAGCCAGCTCTTAGACTATAAATGATTCTGTACTTACAAATTCTGGTACTACTGTACAAAGTAATAATACTTCGAATATTTTTTCGGAAATGATGGTGGAAGTTGAAAATGTTATAACTGCTCAAACTGTGAAAAAGCAAAATATTGATATTAAAGCTACGTCTTTAAAAATGGAGAATGAGCAACTTAAAAAAGAATTGTCAAGGATTCAGAAAATTGCTGATAAGATACTTAAACAAAATGAGACGCTACGCAAGAGTAATAAAAAATTACGTCGAGAAAACGAAAGTTTGACAAATCTCCAGAAGAAAACTCCAGAAGATCACATATCAAAAATATTAAATAAAGATCAAATAAAGGCAATCAAGAGGAAAAATTATCAAGGTTTATCATGGGACACAAAAACTTTGAAAAAAGCTTTAATTTTGAAAGTAAAATGTGGCTCATCAGATACAGAGAAATAAGGACATGATAAAGCAGCGCATTGGCGGGCCATTAAAACTAAAACAATAATAAATTTATTATTAAAAAACAAGAAAAACAACAGGAAAATATTTATAATAATTTTATTTAGGAAACACGTTTTCCCTTTTCTTGTTCTTATACAACCTAATCTCCTTCACTCAACGTGAAGTACTCATAGGAGAACCAACATGGCGGATAATCGCGATAGCTCGATATATCGACCGTCAATGTCACATCTCTGATTTCTAGGTCTCTACCGCGGACCAGTTTTATCCGGAAGAAAATTTTTTTTTTAAGTAGTGCGACTGTTACTGTCTGGATTTTTTCCACTCAGATTTCCAGTAATTTCCATTTAGACTTCACTACTTTAACAGTGATTCAGAATTTGTTAACAAATAGTGGTAAATGAGGCCGTATTGTCTGCTGTTAGGCGGCAGGAGCCAATAAAGTGAAGAAGAAGAAGAAGAAGAACGTCGTACGTCGGGGCTTGGGCGCCAGACGCGATCGGCGATTTGAGTCCTCCATTAGAAATAATGGAAATTAGAATCGGTTTTTGGCTTCTTGGTGCGTGCATTTAGTTGTCTCCAGAGGCCAGCTATACCTATCGCCAGCTAAGGGGACTCCCTCTCACCTTGTTAGTCTTGTTTGGATAAAATTAAAATAATACAAATTATTTTAATCCAAATAAAGTCTCTCTAAGTAAGTACATATACTTAATTTCACTGACAATTTTAGGTTAAAATTATTATAATGTGCACCATTACATTCATGTGTATTGTTTTAATATTTAGGCTTCTTGGTGCGTGCATTTAGCTGTCTCCAAGAGCCAACTATACGGATTACGGCTATTATCCTATCGCCAGCTAAGGGGACTCCCCTCTCACCTTGTTAGTCTTGTTTGGACAAAATTAAAATAAGACAAATTATTTTAACCCAAATAAAATCTCTCTAATACTACGTTTACGCGAGCGTTACTTCTGTAGTAACTTACGATAATTTACTCGTTTACGCGGAGTAAATGATCGTAAGTTACTACAAAATCCCGTTTACGCGAAGGAATTATCATAAGTTACTACAGAAGTAACGCTCGCGTAAACGTAGTATAAGTAAATTTATATACTTAATTTTACTGACAATTTTAGGTTAAAATTATTATAATGTGCACCATTACATTTGTGTATATTGTTTTAATATTTAGGCCGGTATTCATAGTCTTCAAGACCGTCTTAAGTAACGTCTTAAGACGCTAATATGGCTCTGTGATTTGTTCATGACATCTTAAGATTGAACTTAAGACGGTCTTAAATATAACTATGAATACCGGCTTTAGAATGAACTTTTAAATGTAAACAGTCAATTTTATGATAATTACTAGCATGTCCCGCGGTTTCGCTCGCGACCTCATATGCATGGCTCTCATACGCGTAGCTTTTGCTATTTTGTTATTTAGCCTCTACTCAAAAAGAATAAATACCGGGTCAAAAAATAACATCACAGGAAGATTCGGTCAATTATTTCCCGAAAGCGACTTTCAATATTAATTAATTAATTAATATTTAACATATAAATTTAACAACTTATTTAGTCTTTATTTAAAAATAATAAATACCGGGTTAAAAAATAACATCACAGAAAGATTCGGTCAATTATTTCCCGAAAAATTGAAAAAATTTCGGATACCGGTTTCCAAAAAGATCGGTATCAAAAAACTATACACTCTATAACACTCCCCGGAAAATTCTACTCCTATTTTATATACTTTTGATAAAAATTCGGTCAAATGGTTTTTGAGATCATAGCAAACAAAAAAAGGCTACAAACTTTGTCTCTTTATTATAATAGTAAAAGTAATAGTAAAGATAGTATAAAAAAATTTCGTAACCGATTTCCAAAAAGATACCGTTTCCCAAAAAAATCGGTAACAAAAAACTATACAGTTTAGAGCATTCCCCGGGAAATTCTACCCCTGATTTATATACAATTCTTTAAAATTCGATCAAACATTTCCCGAAAAATTCGGAAAACTTTTGATACCGGTTTCCAAAAAAATCGGTAACGAAAAATTATACACTTTTGTGACACTCTCCGGAAATTTCCCAAAAAATTCGAAAAACTTCAGATACCGGTTTTCAAAAAGATCGGTAACAAAAAATTATACACTTTATGGCACTTCCCGGAAAATTCTACCCCTGTTTTATATACAATTCTTTAAAATTCGGTCAATTATTTCTCAAAAAATTAAAAAATTTTAAAAAACCGGTTTCCAGAAAATCGGTAACAAAAAACTATACACTTTATAACACTCCCGGAAAATTCTACCCCTATTTCATATACTTTTGGTAAAAATTCGATCCATTGATTTCCGAGATCATCGAACACAAACAATCAAACCGACAAACTCTGTCTCTTTATAATAATAGTATAGATAATATGTATTGATCGATGACGTTTTTTATTATTTAGTAATTAATATTTTTAGATTTAAATGTCTTGGCCTCGAGGTACGAGCAACATTTGGTATCATTTTACTAAGGATAAGAAAGATAAGAAATGACGATGTCGGTATTGCAATCAAGATATATTAATACCTGGAGAATCATTCACTGGGAACCTCAAAAGATATTTAAAAAATAAACATCCAACTGTGCCACTTTTACGGGAAGATTCACCTTCAGCAGACAGTCGATCGCAATCTCCCTTAGTTTTAACTGAATCTGGAGATGATCCTGATGATCCACTTGAAATCGATAATTCTGAGGTACGGATTATTTCTCAATCAGAGTTATCTGATCGTAACAGTCCCATTCAGGGACCTTCACAATCAAGATTACATGGATCTGAATTTTCATCCCCGATTAGCCCTGTTACTTCCTCACATCCAAACTTACAATTAGTCAATCAACAGTATTCAATAAGTAGATATGTCGATATTATTAAGGTAGCTGTCTCGCTACGTGCTAGTCATGTGACTGTTTGTAGGTTTTTACGTTCAGAAATATATTTCAGACAATTTTTGCTAAGGGAAAAATAATTTTATGAATCATGGTGTAAAATTTCATACGTGACAAAGTATGTTACTTTTTCCAAATTATGTGATTTTTCTCATTTGACTCCGTTTTGATCAGCTGATCACGCGAGTCGTCGAGAAAGGTTACAAGTGATAAAATACTTGGCAACGTCGCATTTTACGTCAGTTGTAGTTTGTCAACAACCGGCAAATTCCTAACCTCGATTTAGATAGCCAATGTTATTTGAAGAATTTTCGCTATGGAAAGGCATGACATTCGTGCCGAACATGGTATTTTCGCCGGCAGATTTATTTCGCGTAAACGAAAACAATGGTGTGAAAACGTTTTGATCGCTAAAAAGAAAAAACCAAACGAGCCAACGACGGTTGACTGCGTCCACGCAGGACGTCGAATAGTCGAGTTAGGGTGCCTCGCGGATACATTGTGGTGCAACCAGTGCGATGAGCCACTATCCCTGCGTAATACAGAATCCGAAGTATTGAAGGGTCTTGCAAGTGAGCTCGACGTTCGGTGTACGCATTGTAACGAGCTAAACAAAGTAGCTACGGGAAGAAGCAAGTACAGCGATACTCTTCGGAATCGCTTCGACGTAAATTTCAAGCTCGGCATCGGTAAGACACACTGAGAATACACTTTAAAATAATTTGATTTCTTTAACACAATGTATCTCTCTAATCTATATTACATTATTTATTGTTTAGGAAAGATTGACAGATTGACACCGGCATTGGTAAAGTACAAGTAAATACTTTCCTGTCTGCTCTTGACATTCACCCGGTCTCTAAAAGTTTACTCAAAAGACACGAACGAGATCCGGGTCTGGCAATTGAGCGACTAGCGAAAGAAAGTTGCCAGAAGAGTATCCAGTTGGAACGACAATTAACGATAGCATCTGAAAGGAGTAATTTCCCTACAGTGGACAGTTCTAACGTCGATCAATCAGCTAGTTCGAAGTGCGTTCATATGTATTGTATTAAACTGTATTAAACTGAGTCCGAGTTTTTCTTTTTGCATTCTAACATCCAATTATATTTAATCCTCCACACTGATTTATGCCTTTTTTATTGCCATTTTATAGCATTCTGGTTTAATTTTGCATCCTTCTATTCAGTATGCATGTTTGCATCGTGCTCTTTAGGTGACAGTCCTTTCGTTTATGATGCAGAGAGAACCTTCCCTCAAAGCTGAATTTTTCTGACGATTTTGTAGTGTGTTGCTAATATTAATTATGCTTTGATGTAAAAGCTTCGAAAAGTTTAACATGCTAATTTTTATTGGAGAAATTAAAGAATAAAATATATTTCATTAATCTACAGGATGCCTGCAAAGGAATTTTACACATAACGCAAAGATAGAAGAACTATTGCGTTACAACGATTGCAGCCAGACGATATGGAATCGCATCAGCGCTGTTTATGGAAATATCAGGATCAATTTTTTGTTTATATACATATGTATTTATCACAATCGACCGTGACAGTGGATTGTGTTTCTTCTTTGAACCTTTGTCTGAAGAAGTCAATAATTCATGTAGATTCGATGGGCTCAGGCATAACGACACCGAGGAAATGCGAGATTGGCCAACCGACTGGAGTGGAATGGTTCCTCTGAAGGCAAGTTACGACGCAGGGTGGCAAAAGCGTGGCACAGGCCACTGCTATAATAGTCTCGCGGGTAAGATGCTATACTACACGAGGATTTTTTATTACGATATCAAATTATATATTTAGATGAGAACGATTATCTCTTGTGTCCTCTCCAGGTCATGGATCCCTGATAGGATATTACAGTGGACTCGTTCTGGCGTACGCTACACGCACAAAAAAATGCACAATGTGCGAGAAGGTTCACGAACCATCGGACCACAATTGCCGATTAAATTTTGATCGAAGTGCGAAAGCTATGGAGCCGGACATAGCCGTTGAACAAATCGCTAAAAATGATCTTTTAACGGAAGCAAATGTCGCAATCGCAGTACTAATCGCAGATGACGATGCTTCGTCGATCGCTGCAGTACGCCGAGAGTCCTCTCACAGAGTTGAAAAATGGTCCGATCTGAACCACGCCAAAAAAGGCCTCACAAGTGCACTGTGTACGCTTTAAATCTGCCGAAAGCTCTTATCGATTATTTCGGACGAGCGTTTTCTCGGGCGATTCATCAAAATAAAGGCAATAAATCCGCAACGAAGACAGCACTGCAAAATGTGGTAGATCATGCGTATGGAAAGCACGATAAGTGCGGAAACTGGTGCCGATCGCATACGGACGAAAACTATGTACACGAGGGTCTTCCAGATAGAAAGCCGCTGACGGATTCGGAGCTGCGGGCAAATCTGACGAACATATTCACGAAGTACGTCAATAACGCTAGTAAGCTTGCTCCTTGCGGTTCTTCCCAGGCGAATGAGAACTTCAACCGTATCGTCTGCAGCAAGCATCCCAAGAATCAATTTTACGGCGTCTCCGAGTCGATGGCCTTCAGAGTAGCAGCAGCGGTGTGCCAAAAAAATCTTGGTACGCAATACATTTCTCAAGTATGTAAAAATCTAGACCTTTCTCCGGGTAAGAAAACAACAAAGTTTCGAGCGAAAAAAGATAAAGCGCGATCCGAACAAGCGAAGAAATCAAAGACGATTTCTTATAAACGAAGAAGATTTTTTCTTGCCAAAAAGAGATCCGCCAAAAACGCTTCTGCCCAAAGACGAGAAGGACTCACGTACGAATCGAACTCCGGATTGGAAGGAGTGTCGGAGCTGCTATGGGATAAGCCAGATCAAGAAGGTACAAGTAAATTTTGAACAATGTTTCTGTAATGTCTACGTATAAAAATTGTACTTTCTTCAATAACAAAGGTGACTGGACTGAGAGCAAAATCGTAATATTCGACTTGGAAACGAGTGGTCTCTCTCATTCGGCTGAAATATGCCAAATAAGTTTTATCTGAATTATTTGATAGATTACATCATTTTCGCCACGTTGCATGTGTACTTCTTTCAGATTTCTGCAGCTACGGAAACCAAAACCTTCAACGCATATATGGTTCCGAAAAGCATGACGCCTGGTGCTGCTGCAACGACTGGCCTTCAAGTACGCGCCGGTGAAATGTACTTGAACGACAAACAGCTAGATACCGTCCCACCGCGTGTAGGCCTGGCCAATTTTATCGGATTCCTGAGAAATGTCGGAGATAATATCATCTTGGTAGCCCATAATGGATAAGACTCCCTATGAACGATTCAGAAGGTCCGTTGTTTACATTTTTATTTACCTGAGTTATCTATAATTTGCAGATTCGATGCACCCATGATTCTGCGCACTATGCGTAAGTTCGGATTACTCACCGATTTCATGTCTGTGGTCAGAGGATTCGCGGATACGCTGCCGATGTTTCGAACTCTCCTCGTCGAGCGGAGAAAAAAGAAGAAAAAGTTCAGTCAGACTGTTCTGGCTCAGGACTTTTTGGGGCCGAGCGCAATCGAAGGAGCACACGACGCCCAAAATGATATTCGAATCTTGAGGCAGCTAATAAATACCATTGGTATTGACAACGAAGCAATCAAAGTCGCGGCCAAAACCACGAATAATATCGTGAAAGAGCAAGAAAAAATGGTTGTTGAACAGACAAACAAAGCTGCTTTGCAAAGCCTGAAGCCAGGAGTATCCGCAGGAATGATTGCGAAGATGGCGAAAGCTGGTCTTTCACTGGACGTACTTCAGAAAGCGTATAGCGATGGAAACGAACATGCGGTGAAGATGCTTCTCGCAGAAGATATTGGAGGCCGACCGCGTGTTACGAAGGCCGAGAGAATAATAAAAGCAGTCGTGGAAGAGCTGAAACGTCAAAATGTTACGTAAATCTGGGCGGATATGCCGATTTATGCATTTATAATGCTCATCCGTTCCTTTTTGTAGATGATAATAATGTTTTAAGTAAACGTAAATTGAAACAATTGATTATTTAGCTGACTTTCAATTAACTCGTGAATAATCCGTATTAATATATCGATAATAATAAAACTATGAAAAGAATGTGTGTAATTTATTTATAAATTTATTTCAACGAATTTTGTAACGATGCGTGTACTATTATTTCTACGAGTACCAATTCTAAAATACAAGCAAGGCAAAATAACATTTCCTCCTTTCACATCTCCTTTTCGATTGAATTTTGACAATTACTGAGAAAGGGTTTCAAAACGCATGACAGGAGTGTCAATCACTAGCCAATTCGGCTAAGAAAGACGAGCCCCATAACCTGCAACTACAGTGATTAGCCAGCGGCGTTGCCAAGTCTTCCCAACCTCACCTCGACCAAAAAATGTTTGCTCTATTACCGCATTTTTACTAAAATAAACTAAAAAATTAGCAGCGAAATCTCCGGTAACCTATATATTTTATGGTTGCATCGGATTCTTCGAATCTAATGTACAAAAAGCAATGTTTTTTTCTCACTTCATCTAATCAAAAAATACGAAAATATGTGATTGAAACCGTGATAGAGCTTTCTTTTTTGTATGAAGTAATGCAAAATTTGTGATTTTCGGAATCGATTTTCTAGAGTAAATAGTCGGTAAGGAGCCACAGAAAAAATCGACTGCAAAGCTGATCATATAATTTGATATAAAAACCGAAATCGAAAACTTTATCTAATACATACCCTGACGAGACAGCTACCTTAAATCCGTATCGTTAAATACCAACAGATTAATTGACATTCGATTATTAAGAACGGTGTGCAAAGAGTATCAGCCATTTTCAATAATAGAAGACGAAGAATTTAAGAAGTTTGTCAAACTTTTGTGCCCTAATTATAGTATGCCTAGTCGCAAAACATTGTCCAATTCTCTATTGTCTTCCATACACAACGAAATTATAATTCAAATAACTAGTCGATTAGCTGATTCACAACCCATCTGCTTAACGTGCGACGGTTGGACAAACATTAATAATATAAGTTTTTATGCTTTTACTGCTCATTATATCGACTCAGATACACGTCTTAAATCACATTTGTTAGAATGTTCAGAATTTAACGAGAGACATACTGGTTTAAATATTTTCCAATGGATTGAAACAGTTTTGGAAAAGTTTGATATAGCTTATAAGATTTGTGCAATCGTGACAGATAATGCATCTAATATGAAATCTGCTGTTAATATTTTAAAACTAAGGCATATTTCTTGTTTTGCTCATTCATTAAATCTCATTGTACAAAATGCTATTGAGAAAGACATTAAAAATCTAGTCGAAAGAGTTAAAGCTATCGTGCAATATTTTAAACAAAGTAGTTTCGCTTTAGCAAAATTGCACGAGATGCAAAATAACATGAACAAACTTTTGACATGTTAGATCGCTTTCTTCTTAATATATTTATTGTTAACTTCAGCTACATAGCCAAGAAGTGGACTTGGTTTACAAATAGCCTTAATCATTCATTCTTCCATTCATACGCTACTATCCTAACTTACAAGTAACTATTGCACATATTGTTACACATTGACCTTCTATGTTTTAATCCAACCTTCTTTTTCGCTCTTCTTTCTCTAACGCTGACCGTTCTCTATATAATCTTAACAATATCTTCTTTTTGATGATGCCCATTTCATCATTCCAAAGCCTCTCTAATCTTTCTTTATTATTCTTACCTAATTCTATAAACCAATTTTTTATAGCTTCTCATTTTGATACATAATGATTCGTGTTATGCCTACCTTGTTTACAAAACATACAAATACCGCTTTCCTCTTTTAACCAATACATATTGCGTTCTCCAAATTACCACATTTTAAGTTCACCAGAGCTCTAATAATTTCGCCTTTATCATAATTATCCATATATTCCTTCCTCAGATATTTAGGGCCACCTATTTCTCTATTTAAATTCTTATATTTCTTATTATACCTAGAATTTAAAATACCACTACTTTCCTCAATTTGTCTTTGTGTACATCTTCATCTCTTTTACTCATTTCCTTAACTAAATCTTTTCCCTCCCTTCTTAAAGCATCCACAGCCATAGTACTCCAACCATTCCTACTAAAATATTTTAATCTTTCTCTACCATATCTATCTTTCCAATCATTTCCTTCTTTATCTAACCAGCACATTTTAATCCATCTATTATCACCAGCTGCTCTAATTTTCTCTTCATATCTCATAGCCCTTATCCCCCACCCTATTCTTAATTTCTTTAATCCCAAATCCCTTGACATCATGTATCTTGGGGTACAAAATTTCCACATAAAAATCCATCTAACGTAATCCAACATAATTTTTTCTAATTCTTTTCTTTCCTCCCATCCCCATATTTCCACACCATACGAAATCTCACTTTGAACTAAATATTTAAACAACATCCACCTTCTACAAAAATCGTTTCTACAAATTCTTTCCCCCAAACCCCAGACCTTATTTACCGCAATCCTCCCTTTTCTGCATAATACATGTTCTGCATATTTTCCATTCCTGCTGAACACAAATCCCAAATATTTAAACTGCTTAACTTCTTCAATTTCTTTATTATCCCATTTCCACATTTCAAATTTTTCCCTACCTTTTTTATTGAACACCATCATCTTAGTCTTTTCGGTACACAATACCATTTTCCTTTTCCTAAGAAATCTTTTAATTGTATCCATCATGTCTAATATCGCAACCCTATTTTTAGTTAAAAATACCATATCATCCGCATATTCTAACGACCATACTCTATCATTTCCTAGTTTAACTCCGCCGATTCCTCTTTTCTTCAATATATTCCTAATGTCCGCCATAAACAAGTTGAATAAAAGTGGACTCAGAACACAGCCTTGCCTCACGCCTTTCGTAACCCTGAATTCTTCTGTTAAACCATCCTTCGTTCTAACTGCAACTTCCGTAGTTTCATAAATTTCTTCTATCTTCTTTACAAGCTCCTCTTCAATTCCCATCTTCCTAAAAATCTTCCACAGCTGACCTCTGTTTACATTGTCAAAAGCCGCCTTCAAGTCAACGAAGAACGCATAGACCTTGTCTTTCTTTCCATCCCTATCCTCCCTCTTTGTTAGATGATCCAATACAAAAATGTTATCCAACGTTGAACGTCCTTTCCTAAATCCCGCTTGACTCTCCGGCAGTAAACCTTTTTGTACCACAATCTTCTCCAACCTTCTTCTAATTATCTCCGCATATATAATATTTTATAGGCTGAGCACAGAAGAGAGATTCCCCTGTAATGTATAGAGGGACTATAATTGAAGTTCTCCAATTCTTAGAAATACATCCCTCTCTCCAGACTTGATTTAGTATCTCCATCAACCCTTTCCTTACTGAGCTGCCTTCATACAACCAAGTCTCCATCGGAATACCGTTTACACCTATCGCTTTGTTCTTTTTCATCCCTCTGACCGCTTCTGCAACCTCCTCTTTCTCCAGATGTGTTCCTAGCTCATTTTGTACTGCTCCTATCTCGTTAAAACTTCCCTCTTCCTTGTTAGCCCGCTTCTCATTCGCCGCCTAATAGCTTCTTAAAATACTCTTTTCACTCCTTACAACTAATGTTGTTATCTTTCCAGACTTTCTTCTTCCTCTTTCTGTTTATAAATCTCCAAACTTCTGCACCGTGCCTTAAGTTCTTTAATTTCTCTTCTTCCTCTTCTCTCTTCTTCCTTTTCTGTTCATATAACACTTTTATATTACCTTTCTCTTCAATGTACCTTCCTTCCCCTTCCTTCATTTTATATATGTTCTCTTCACATCCCTTTTCTTCCTTGTGCATTCTCTGTCCCACCAGTCCCTGGAATCAATTTTCCACCTTTTAACCTTTATCTCCTTCTTTATCATAGACTCCTGGACTAGCTCCTTCAATTTAGTCCACTTTTCCTCAATTGATCTTTCCTGTTGCGAGTCATCTCATTCGAGATCATCTGTCTTTTCCTTGTAACACCTTATAGCCTCCTTATCCCAACATGTTTTTCATCTTCTTTTAGTGTTCTCATCCTCTTCATCTACCCACTCTTCGTCGTCTCCATTCCTTCTGCTGCTATCATCTATTACCGCAATTATAGGCATGTGATCCGAGTCCACCCTCGCATTTACAATAAATTCTTTAACGCAATTATACAATTCTTCGCAGACAATCACAAAATCAATTACCTCTCGCGCTTACAAATGTGTATTCCCCTTCCCAGTCGCCTTTAGTCATACCATTCAAGATGTACCATCCCTTATTTTGTACCCACTCCACCACATTCCTGCCTCCATTATTTATAGTTTTATCCTTGCTTTTCCTTTTCAAACCTCCTTCCTCTTCTTCCCCGCACCCTAACTCACCAATTCTAATATTAAAATCCCCCCCCCCAATAAATGTGCGTTCTCTATCTTTATTTTCTAACCACTTATCCAAAATCTCTTCCATACTGCTCCAACCTTCCGTATTGTACACCGATATTATATTTATTAATTCTCCTCCCTCAGTTATTTCAGTTATTTCACAAAATAAAACCTTCCTCCCTTGACAGCTCCACCCTTTCCACCCTCCAGTTTTTCTTTATACCTATTAACATCCCACCTTTAGCCCTTCCTTTCTTTTTTAATCTAGTAGCGTAAACACAGTTTCATATGTGAAAGTTAGGTAACCAGCCTTTAATAATTTCCCATTTTTCCTTGTTAATCCAAGTTTCACTCAAACTCACAAAATCATAAAACTTGATGTAATTCCAAAAGTCTCTATTTTTACTTTCTAAACCTGCTAAGTTCCAAAATATAATTTCCTTACCTATTTCCTGTAGCTCTCCCTTATTTCCGTTCTTTTCCACTCCTTGGCTTATACAAAACTCTGCTCTTCGCTTCTATCAATATTATCATCATCTTGCATCCCTTTTTCGGCTACTTTTTTCCCCATATCCTTTTCAA